CCCAATAATACACTCTCACCCAGCTCTGTACATGCTCAGTTGCCCTCCATTTTTAGGTATTTTTAGGCACTGACAAATTTGTATAGACCAATTTGCTGACAGCCTTAAAGTAGGATTAAACCGTCCTACCCTTTACAGCCAAGGAAGCCACTTCTGTTTGATCTGCAACTACCATGGTGCGGCACATGCGATCAGTTATGAGAACGGCCATATAACGGGCTTGACAGTTTTTTCAAAGACACAAGTAGATGTGACAGTTAACAATCTCAGCATTCCAGGAATGTAACTGTCTTTTGAAACTGTTAAATCTATAGATTTATTTCTGCTTTCTGATTTACTGATGTTCTGGAGCTCTGGACTTCAGCAAAATGGCAGCCTCCAGCAAGAAGAAACAGGAACAATGTTGGAGGCAATTTACAGCACACACAAATTTTGGTAGCAGAATGCATAATGTGAAGTGTATGTACCTTGCTAAAGAACATTGTTTTCCATCAAGTTGTTAGGGGTTAAGTTCCGCTTTACGGTTACCTTTACTTTAAATAATACTGTATAGAAAAAAGATTTTGTTGCCAGATATAGAAAAATAACTACCAAAAGATTTAAACCAGTGTTTCAGACTGGGATCACACTTCTGCGGTGCGGCATATTGCATGTGATTCGCACAGGAACCGCACCACACTCCTGTGCAAATCACATGTGAATTCTAGCGGTGCCATTGGAGCCATACATTTTGTCGGATCGCATGGGTATTGACAACCATGTGATCCGATTCTGCACATTGCATCGCATTTTGTGAACCAATTTCGGGGTGTGGTTAACTTAACATACACACCCCGCAGCGGTTCACATGAACGGGGTGCGATTGTGATGTGGAGCGTAATTCACACAGAAACCGGTGCGAATTCCGCGCCGCATCAGTGTGAACCCAGGCTTAGAGTAATCTTTGTTTCAGAACTACTCCCCAAAAATAGAAAATCTCCTCTGAAATCCTAAAAGTGAAAGTAAAGTGCAAACATAAAATACTGTGAGCAGGCAGGCTCTTTATTGCAGAAGGGATGTGCTATGTCTCTTCTGCAATAATGAGATTGTTTCACCTGTCTGTTCACAATCTTCTTGGATAAGTAAAAGAGGGCCATACAGCTTACATTTGGATGTATTCTTTGAAAGGATCTAGATAACCTCCATTTTGTTGATGTATGCCATTTTAAGTATTAAGTTAGGTTTTTGCAGATATATTGGAACTTTAATGAAGCTGTTTCAGCTTGCTCAAGGATGTATAAACAACGATAAGATGTCCCTGAGCTTCCTGTGTCCAGCTGATTTTCAGAAAGCTAGCAGAAACAGTTTATACCAAGAAATGTATATGTCATGTTTCATGTAGTCAGCTTATGATGGAAAGTTACAAATTGCAGTTTTGAAACTCGCTCCCCTCCCTTTTTTTAATTCTGTTCTGTACTCTATATAACCTTAGTAATGTCTAATAAACTTTGACATCTTTGAACATAAACTGCCGTTATTCCGTATTCATAGGGTGTTCCCAGAATTCTGCTGGTAAACCAGGAATCTCTCCACAGATCAGGGGTCTCTGAGGGGATAAAGAAAATCGATCCCAGGAGTGAAAGAGCCTGTACAGATTAAAGACACACTGGCTGAAGCCGCAGCTGTATCGGTATATAAGCAAATCCTACTGTCACAGACCAAAGACTCACTAGAGGAAATGGTCAGAGATTGTTCTACTGGAGAGGTTGGAGACCTAATTCATGCTTTTGGAGACCATCAGAGACTAGGGGTGTGTTGTATGAAACCACTGGACTTTACTAAAATTAGGGACCCTTTACAAATCAGTGTTCCCTCTACTGACTGCTGGTGCCTCAAGGGTTGCACTTCAAACACCAAAGGGCCACATGTGGCCTTCAAGATGCTGGTTGGGCATATGCGCAGCTCAGTGTGCATTTTTGCCACTCCTTCACAACACGAATGAACTCTTGTGTATAGGCACAGGAGTTACATCATTCCCAGCTAGCCAGTCAAAACAGCCAAAGAACTGGCACCTGGAAGAAGTTGAGGAGAAGATGCCAGTGAGGGGCCTCACAGACATTGCATTAACTACTTCAAGTCCAGACACTTTCACCCCCCTCTAGTCCAGGCCAATTTTCAGCTTTCAGTGCTATCACATTTTGAATGACAATTGCGCGGTCATACAACACTGTACCCATATGAATTTTTTAGCATTGTTTTGAGACAGTAAAACTTTATTTTGGTGGTATTTATTTACTACTGGGATTTTTTTTTTTGCTATATAAATGAAAAAGTCCAAACATTTTGGGAAAAAAAAGTGTTTTTTCTTATAAAATGTTGCAAATAAATAATATTTCTTCATAAATCTTGGCCAAAATGTATTCAGCTATCTCTTTAGTATAGTAAAAAAAAAAAAAAAAAAAGAAATAACCCAAATTAGTTTATAACCAAAAATTATAATTTTTCTTTATGTTTTTTTTTAACATACTGTCACCCTAGCAGTACAGTGTCACCATAGTGACTGTACTACTTGTGGGGGGTGATGAAGATTTGTTTTCTTTTTTTACACTGATTGCTTTTACACCCAAAAGGGCTGTAAAAGAAATAATTTCTATTTCTCTCTGGCTGCATTCTTGCAGCCATTGAGAAATACTGTGCGAATTGTGATTGGTCACAACTTGTCACATGGTACAAGGCTGTTGTGAATAGCCTGGTACAATGTGACCTCTGTGATCATTCATAGATTTCATAAATTTCATAAGTAGTAAGCAATGATGTCAGGAAGTGACATCTTGCTTACTACTATTCATGTGATCACTGATTGGCCAATCAGTGATCACATGAATTGGGACCTTACACAGAGGTCTTGTACAGCAATCGGTGTTCCGCTGTGCCCAGAGGACACAGCGGACACCGGATTGTGGTTCCACACGCTCCCAGGGAGGCACACAGGCAGTAAATACGGGGCCATTTATTAACGGTCACCTGCTTTGGCACTGCTCCCGTCTGGCCGTTTATGTACATGGGTTGGATGGGAAGTGGTTAAAGGAGCAGGGGTACGTCTTTGTGCAATGTTTTGCTTTAAATAGGGTTTTATAAATTGGCTGCAGCTCCTGATCAAGAAAATTTTCCCAGCATGTCCCTTCAACAGAAATAAATCAAATGATCCATTTCTGTTGTGTAGGATGGCCACACACTGATCAATGGTGTGACGAACACGGTGCCCAACCCCTGCCCTTCTCACCAACTTGTGACAAAGGACCAGCCATTCTCACACCGCGCAATCACTTGCATAACAATGCCACTCTCAGCTGCACCCTGCATAGAGATTTTCCAGCTCGCTCGCAGGACCACAATCTAGGTGACAGCAGCCTGAGAGCAATTGTCACTGGGCTAGGTTAATTAGCAATTACCCCTTCAAACTCCAAACTGCCACCAGATAGCTTTGGGCCTATCGACCCTTCACAATGTTAGCAAGAGCAAATGTGAATAAATGTCTGTAACACACACTGTCACCACAGACAGGTATATTCAGAGGATTATTATATACAGTAGCACAGGGATTCTTTACTGTAGTTTGCATTAAAAGCCTTAGAGATAGTTTTAACACTTTTCAAAATAGAGTTTATTAATGAAAAGGCCAAATGGTGCAATTAAAATATTTACAGAAAATAATGTTACAAAGTCATAAAGAGATCAATAACACAACAGAGAAATAAAGGGAGGTGAAAATGGAGAAAACTTGCAAAGTCCTTGGTTTTAGCAGAGTCCAACTGTCCAAGCACAAATGCTGCCATGGCTCTCTTGGATGTTCTTTGGTTGATGGTAAAACAAGAGCTCCCTTACCAGGTCCTGTCAGTCCCTTTTCTGTGATATCAATGGGGTGTGGACAGAGAACAACTGATCAATCATCTGGTTTAAGGGACGGGTGCTGGGAGGTCACCACATTGATGACCAAGTCCCAAATACAGTTTTATACTAATATTAATAACTTCCAATATGTGCAGGTGGTATTCTAGAAAATTGCAGAATATTATTCAGAATTATATTTCATATCCAGGGATACCAAACACAGCGTACCCTGGACGGATCTGTCAACTGGGAGGGAGGAGACTACTTTCTCCACTTTCATGTGTGCTAACATAGTCATGTATAACCTTGATTTTTTTGGTATGATATTCCCCATTCAATTACATACCTAATATTAATATGTCATGTTCCTGTTGAATTCTATGAATTGTATGTGGAATTGTTTTATTGTGGAATAGACGTTTTATGGCATGCTCTGCATTCCTAGAACTTTAAAGGCCTTACACGTCATGTGTGACAGGCTTGACTGAGTTATTATTGTTTTATGATAGGTCAGAGGGATGATGTTTTTATACTTCGCAGAAACAGACATCCTGCAGACCTCTATTTATGTTTTACAGCTCTGACCAGGTCTGTTTGCTGCTGTTCTGTTGTCCCTGATTGAGATAAGAGGCTCTTTTGAAGTTTATTAAAAGTTATGGCTACAAATTCCATATTTTTCAGGAGGAGGGAGGGAGTAAAATCATTTCTCATGAAAACAAAATGGCTAGGACCTTAACAAGGTGGCTATCGCCTACAGCTTTCATGTCCCTATTGCACACAGTCAATACAAATGGGTTTGGTTCCACATTAAAGCAGGAGTAAAGGCAGCTTATATTCACCTTTCCTCTGCGTGGGATGATATCAGTCTTGCTCATGATCATGCTGTCATTCTGGCACACAGGGATCGGGCAGGTCGCTGTAAGCTGAGTTCAGTTTACATGCCAGGGGATGCTGCAAATAGGCAGTTAAGTGTATTTTATTGCATGGAGTTCACCAGAGCTTCACAGGTTGCCACTCTTCCACGCCTTCATGATGACATCATGGAGCTGGTGGATGTTAGAGACCTTGCACTCTTCCACCTTCCATTTGAGGATGCCTCACAGATGCTTAATAGGTCTGGAGACATGCTTGGCCAGTCCATCACCTTTTCCCCACATTCTTTAGCAAGGCAGTGGTTGTCTTGGAGGAGTGTTTGGAGTCATTTTCATCTATATGTAGAGCAGTGTTTCTCAACTCCAGTCCTCATGGACCCCCAACAGGTCATGTTTTCAGGATTTCCCTCAGATGAAACAGCTGTGGTAATTACTAAGGCAGTGAAACTGATCAAATCACCTGTGCAAAATAATGGAAATCCTGAAAACATGACCTGTTGGGGGTCCATGAGGACTGGAATTGAGAAACACTGACGTAGAGCAACAATTATTTTTTTTCATGTCCTTAGAGTTCTTTGCCATGAGGTGCCATGTTGAACTTCCAGTGACCAGTATGAGAGAGTGAAAGCGATAACACCAAATGTAACACACCTGCTCCCCATTCACACCTGAGACCTTGTAACACTAACAAGTCACATGACACCAGGAAGGGAAAATGACTAATTGAGTCCAATTTGGACATTTTCACTTAGGGGTGTACTCACATTTGTTGCCAGCAATTTAGACATTAATGGCTGAGTTAGTTTGAGGGGACATATGAGATATATATATATATAATGTCTGACAACTGCAGAAGTGTCAAGTCTGTAGAAGTGCTCACGGTGACCACCAGTACCCTCCACAGCTGGACAGTGCACATGCGCAGTGTAGGATATGAGCAGGGGGAAGAGCCGTGAAGGCGCGGAGGGGGGAGTGGTCTGGCAGCATCTTTCGTGTCAGTATGGTGCAGTGTGAGCTGTCAGGGACAGGCCCCGCTCTCTTCCTACTGGAGGCTGGTGCGGGGTGGTAGTAAGCTCGGCCCTTATTACGTACAGCGCACAGACGTGTCTGCACACAGGGAGGACGGATCACATGCGTAGCCTAGTGAGAGCTGTGGGCTCTGCTCGCCGTCTGCTGCTCCAGTCTGTGGTCGGACTGATCAACATGTGTGCGGGGGTGAGCACCGCCCCCACCGACCTCCCCGCACTCTACACACTGCCTGCGGTGCCGGGAAGTGAGCCCGGCAAGTGTAATGATCTCCTCTTCTCCCCGCCCCGGGACAGAGCACAGAGGCCGCACCATGTCATCTACTTCCCGGGGGACGTGCAGGTGAGACGAGGGGACCACTGGGTGTGCGGGTGACAAGAAAGTGAGCATTATGCAAAGGTGACTATTGCGTGCGGGGGGGGGAGGAGAAGGTGACCATTGCGTGCGGGGGAGAAGGTGACTAGTGCGTGCAGGGGGTGAGCAGGTGACCATTGCGTGCGGGGGAGCAGGTGACCATTGGGGGGGGGGGAGATGTGACCATTGCGTGCGGGGAGGGGGGTTAAGGTGACCATTGCGTGCGGGGAGGGGGGGGTTAAGGTGACCATTGCGTGCGGGGAGGGGGGGGGTTAAGTGTGACCATTGCGTGCGGGGAGGGGGGTTAAAGTGACCATTGCGTGCGGGGGGGGGGTTAAAGTGACCATTGCGTGCGGGGGGGGGGTTAAGGTGACCATTGCGTGCGGGGGGGGGGTTAAGGTGACCATTGCGTGCGGGGGGGGGGGTTAAGGTGACCATTGCGTGCGGGGGGGGGGGAGAATGTGACCATTGCGTGCGGGGGGGGGGGAAATGTGACCATTGCGTGCGGGGGGGGAGAATGTGACCATTGCGTGCGGGGGGGGGTTAAGAATTGACCCTGACCAGTGCGGGGGGGGGGGTTAAGGTGACCCTTGCGTGCGGTTAAGGCGACCCGGGGGGGGGTTAAGGTGACCCTTGTGTGCGGGGGGGGAGAATGTGACCAGTGCGGGGGGGGGGGGGGTTAAGGCGACCCTTGCGTGCGGGGGGGGGGTTAAGGCGATCCTTTGCGGGGGGGGGGGGGTTAAGGCGACCCTTGCGGGGGGGGGGGTTAAGGCGACCCTTGCGGGGGGGGGGTTAAGGTGACCATTGTGTGAAAGGTGGGGACTATTATGTGCGGGAGATAAGGAGGTAACCATTGTATGTGGGGGGCCAGGATTTGACCATTGTAAGGTGGCTGACGAGAAGGTGGTGACCATTGCGTGTGAAAGGGACTATTATGAGGGAGATAAGGTGACCATTGCGTGAGGAGAAGGTGACCATTGCGTGCGGGTGAGGAAAAGGTGACCATTGGGTGAGGAGAAGGTGACCATTGCGTGCGGGTGAGGAGAAGGTGACCATTGGGTGAGGAGAAGGTGACCATTGTGTGCGGGTGAGAAGGTGAACCATTGGGTGAGGAGAAGGTGACCATTGGGTGAGGAGAAGGTGACCATTGTGTGCGGGTGAGAAGGTGAACCATTGGGTGAGGAGAAGGTGACCATTGGGTGAGGAGAAGGTGACCATTGCGTGCGGGTGAGGAGAAGGTGACCATTGTGTGCGGGTGAGGAGAAGGTGAACCATTGGGTGGGTGAGGGGAAGGTGACAATTGTGTGCGGGTGAGGAGAAGGTGACCCATTGGGTGAGGAGAAGGTGAGTATTGCTTGCATGGTGAAAAGGTGACCCTTGCGTACAGGGGAGAAGGTGATCATTATACGCGGGTGACAAGAAGGTGACCATTGTGTGCATACTGAGGCCAATGAAGCCTTGGTTGTATTCCTGTGTAGATGGTGGATGCAGCTTGCTGTGGCGCATGTATCTAGACTTTAGGATCAGTTTAGAGTACTCTCACGCTGGCACGTTTTTTTTTTTTTTTTTTCTTTAAACTAGTCTTTATTCAAGAGGAAAGAATCCAAAATATAGACATGTATAGCATACTTCAGACATGTAGAATAGTACCACATTGGCAGTTTTTACCTAGCCCAGGCATCGGGTAACCCCCTTGGTCCAGTTCATTTGTGCAGCGTGAGTGTTCTGAACCGGGCCCAGGAACAGTTAAATGAACTATACACTGTGGTCCCAGAATTTTGCATATTTGTTACTCTTAAATGATTGAGATAATCTCAGAATTTGAATATTACACAAAGAAAACCAAAGTAAATACAAAATGCAGTTTTAAAATTATGATTTCATTTATTAAGGGAAAAAAGCTGTCCAAACCTTCCTGGCCCTATGTGAAAAATGAATTGCCCCTAAACATAACTGGTTGTGCCACTCTTGGCAACAACAACTGCAATCAAGTGGCAACAACTGCAAAAAAGCAGTTCAAACCTGCCTGGCACTATGTGAAAATGTAATTGCCTCCTAAACCTAACAACTGGTTGTGCCACTCTTGGCGGCAAAAACTGCAGTCAACCGTTTGCGATAATGGGCAACGAGTCTTTCACATCGCTGTGGAGGGCCACAGCATCTCAGTTGGATTTAAGTCTGGACTTTTACTAGGCCACTCCAAAAGCTTAATTTTGTTTTTCTTGGAGCCATTCAGAGGGGGAGTTTCTGGTGTTTCATTATTCTGCTGTGCAAGCCAAGTGCGCTTGAGCTTGAGGTCATAAATTTCTGGCCGGTCATTCTCCTTCAGGATTATCTGGTAGAACGAGAATTCATGGATCCATCAAATATGGCAAGTCATTCAGGTCCTGAAGCTGCAAAGCAGGCATGTTTGGACAGCTTTTTTTCCCTTAAATGAAATTGTTTAAAAACTGCGTTTTGTGTTTACTCAGGTTATTTTTGTGTAATGTCAACTTTTTTTGATCTGAATCATTTACAGAAATGGCCAAAATTATTGGCACCTCTGCATTTCTGTCAGATAATTGACCACTTTGCCAAGAAAATTGTTGCAATTACAAATGTTTAAGCATTCTCATATTTATTTTGTTTGTATTGGTCTGACACAAAAGTGGAGGAAAAAAAAAGCCAAATCTGACACATTCCACGCAAAACCCCAAAGAAGGACAGGACAAAATTATTGGTGCCCTTAATGTAATATTTGGTAGCACACCCCTTGGAAAAAATAACTGAAATCAATTGCTTCCTGTAACCATCAATGAGTTTCTCACACGTCTCTACTGGAATTTCAGACCACTCAGATTGGAAAGGTTCCATTTGCTTGTTTTGAGGTCTCTCCACAGGTGCTCTATGGGATTGAGATTTGGACTCATTGCTGGCCAGTTCAGTACTCTCCAGCTCTTTGTCTGAAACCATTTCTGGGTGCTTTCTGACGAGTGCTTTGCATCATTGTCCTGCTGTAAGACCCATGACCTCTGACAGAGACTCAACTTTCTGACACTGGGCCCTACATTGCGCCCCAGAATTTCTTGGTAGTTTTCAGATTTCATAATGCCATGCACACGGTCAAGACATCCAGTGCCTGAAGCAGCAAAGGAACCATAAAACATCAGTGAACCTCCACCATGTTTGACTGTAGTATTTTTTTTTTTTTTTTTTTTTTTTTTTTATTCTTTAACCACTTCCAGTCCGGACACTTTTACCCCCTTCCTATCCAGGCCAATTTTCAGCTTTCAGTGCTATCACACTTTGAATGACAATTGTGTGGTCATGCAACACTATACCCATATGAATTTTTTAGCATTTGTTTGAGACAGATAAAACTTTATTTTGGTGGTATTTATTCACCATTGGGATTTTAATTTTTTTTTGCTATGTAAATGAAAAATTCCAAAAATTTTGAAGTGTTTTTCTTATAAAATGTTGCACATTTAATAATATTTCATCATAAATCTTGGCCAAAAGTTATTCCGTTATATTTTTAGTAAAAAAAAAATAACCCATATTAGTTTCTAACCAAAAATTATAATTTTTAACCACTTGCCTACCAGGCACTTATACCCCCTTATTTACCAGTCCAATTTTCAGCTTTCAGCGCTGCCTCACTTTGACAATTGCGCGGTCATGCAACATTGTACCCATATGAAATTTTGATCATTTTTTTCTCACAAATAGAGCTTTCTTTTGGTGGTATTTAATCGCCACTGGGCGCTTTACTTTTTGCGCTATAAATAAAAAAAGTGCAAAAAAATTTGAAAAAAAAGTTTCTTTGTTTCTATTATAAAATTTTTCAAACAGGTATTTTTTCTCCTTCACTGATAGGCGGCACTGATGGGCACTGATAGGCAGCACTAAAGGGCACTGATAGGCAGTACTAATGAGGTGGCACGGATAGGCGGCACTGATAGACAGCACTAATGAGGTGTCACGGATAGGCGGCACTAATATGCAGCACTGATAGGTGACGCTGATGATGGGTACTGATAGACGGCACTGACTGGCATCACTGCTGGGCACTGACTGGCGGCACTGACTGGCACAACCCCTGGGCACAGGTGGGTGGGCACAGGTGGGTGGGCACAGGTGGGTGGGCACAGGTGGGTGGGCACTTCTGGGCACAGGTAGGTGGCACTTCTGGGCACAGGTGTGTGACACTGCAGCAGAGTGGCACAGGTGGGTGCACTGCTGGGCACAGGTGGGCGCACTGCTGGGCACAGGTGGGTGGAGCTAGTGGGCGCACTGCTGGGCACAGGTGGGCGGAACTTGCGGGTGGCACTGCTGGGCACCGATCATCAGGGCACTGATCATCAGTGCCCTGATGATTGGTGCCGATCCCCGCTCTGACAACTGCCGGTTCTCGGCAGTACTTTCCTCACGATCTGACAGCGTGAGGAAAGTGCAGCCGAGAACCGGCACTTGCATTTCCCTCTGATCAGCGTGTCATTGGACGCCGCTGATCACGTGGTAAAAGGCCGCTGTGATTGGCCTTTTACCACATCACGTGATCAGCTGTGTCCATAGGACACAGCGATCACGGAGATCGCCGGGTGCATGCCCGCTGGGGCGCGCAGGAGAGCGCGTTCTGGGAGGACGTCAAATGACATCCACTCAGAACTGGCCAGCCGCAGTGCAGCCGTCATTCGGCTATCTGCGGTCGGCAACTAGTTAAACTTTTTTTTTTTTTTTACATTTTTATTTTATTTTTGTATTTGGTTTTTTTTGTTTCTTTTACATACTGTCACCCTAGCAGTATAGTGTCATCATGGTGATACTGTACTACTTGTGGAGGGTGATGAAGAATTATTTTTTTATTTTTTACACTGATTGCTTTTTACACCCATAAAGGCTGTAAAAGCAATCATTTCTCCTCTCTGGCTGCATTGTTGCAGCTATTTAGAACTACTGTGTGAGCTGTGATTGGCCACAGCTTGTCACATGGTACAAGGCTGTTGTGAATAGCCTTGTACCATGTGATCTCTGTGATCATTCACAAATTTCACACGTAGTAAGCAATGATGTCAGAAGTTACAGCTTGCTTACTACTCTGCATGTTATCACTGATTGGCCAATCAGTGATCACATGATCGGAACCTCGCACAGAGATCCCGTATGACAATCGGTTTTCCACTGTGTCCGGAGGACACAGCGGGCACCGGATCACAGTGCTGCACGCTCCCAGGGAACGGTCACAAGCAGGGGGCGGGGGAGACCGTTTATAAATGGCCACTCAACCATGCACTGCCACCGTCTGGCCGTTTATATACAACGGCCAGACAGGAGGTGGTTAAAGGCATCATTGCTTTTTCTGAAAACCGTAGAATGATGGGCTTTACCAAAACGTGTAATTTTGTTTTTCCTATGTCCACAGCACATCTCCCAAAAATGATTTTGGCTTCCTTGGGTAAGTTTTGGCAAACTCCAGTCTGGCTTTTTTAGGTTTCCGTGTCAGCAGTAGCATCTCTTTTCATTCAGATGGTGACATACAGTGCAAGCTGACACAGTTGTACCCTGTGCCTGAAGGTCAGCTTGAATTTGCTAGAAAGTTGATTGAGGTTCTTTATCCACCATTCGAACAATCCTTTCTTGCGATCTTTGATCAATTTTTTTCTCTTTCATCCAGGTCCATGCAGATTAGCTACAGTGTCATGGGTTGTAAACTTCTACGCACAGTGGACACAGGAACATTAAGATCTCTGGAAATGGACTTGTAACCTTGAGATTGTCCATTCTTTTCCACAATTTTTGATCTCATATCCTCAGACAGTTCTTTGCTGCTTTCTCTTCTTCATGTTCCATGTGGCACACAGACACACACAACAGAAAAGTTGAATCAGTTTTTTACCATTTTGACTGGTTGCCAGTGTGATTTCTATATTGTCAGCACCTGTTCATTGGTACAGGTGAATATATTTACAAATTACAGGAGCATCAGAAATTTGTAATGCAATTATTGAGAAGGTGCCAATTTTTGTCCAGTTCATTGTTGGAGTTTTGTGTGGAATGTGTCAGATTTTGCTTTTTATTTCTCCACTTTTTTGTCATACCGATACAAACAAAAGTAATAAACGTGAGAATGCAACACATTTCTGGGCGAAGTGGTGCATTATCTGACAGAAATGCAGGGGTGCCAATATGACTATGTGACAAATATGCAAAAAAAAAATAAATATCAGGAAGGGGGGCAAATACTTTTTTCACAGCACTGTAAGTGTGCATGGGAATAGTTATATTCCAAAGTGAGTGCAGGCCAATGGTGGAGGGGGAAAAAAAACAAACTTGGCACCATTCAGTTCAACCAGTGTTCTGAGTTCCATATGATCTTCTTCACAGGTTAATCTCCACTCCTACCTGCATTTATTTTGATTTGTATAGAGAGGAGAGCAGAACATAAATGCCTGTACATAGACACCCCCCCCCCCCCCATCCTCCCAGCTTCTCTGTGGCTAAAGCTCCCTATCATATCTGTCATGTCTCTGCGCAGAAGCCACCCCTATTCTCGGTGCGTGGAGTAAAACCCCAACTTACCTCCCCCCACAGGGATGTTGAATTCATATCACCTGGCTCTTGGGACATGTAGTTCTAGGCGCTGGGCGGTTTTTTGTTTTTTTTTCTACCTTCTACCAAGCAGCCACCCAATTGCTTCCACACAGCCCACTATGTGTCCGACCTCCCCCCCGCCCCTGCCTACTATATGTCACGGGCTCCGCTTGGCTATCTGTGGGCCCGGGACCAGTTAGTGACTGCCAGTGTGCATAGGGGAGGGAGGAGAGCGGACACATCAGTTTCCCTCCCCTTGTCCTGACCCAGAAGTTATGTGACATCACTTCCGGGTCCCCGTTGACAGATTCCCGGCCATTGTGGCTGGAAAAGAATGTAATGCACAAAGATGATGCACAAGAAGACCCGCAAACAGTTTGCTGAAGGCAAGCAGACTAAAGACATGGATTACTGGAACCATGTCCTGTGGTCTGATGAGACCAAGAGAAACTGATTTGGTTCTGATGGTGTCAAGCGTGTGTCGCGGCAGCCAGGTGAGGAGTACAAAGACAAATGTGTCTTGTCTACAGTCAAGTATGGTGGTGGGAGTGTCATGGTCTAGGGCTGCATGAGTGCTGCCGGCACTAGGGAGCTACAGTTCATTGAGGGAACCATGAATGCCAACATGTACTGTGACATACTGAAGCAGAGCATGATCCCCTCCCTTTGGAGACTGGGCCGCAGGGCAGTATTCCAATATAACGACCCCAAACACACCTCCAAGACAACCACTGCCTTGCGCTGAGGGTAAAGGTGATGGACTGGCCAAGCATGTCTAAACCAGACCTAAACCCTATTGAGCATCTGTGGGGCATCCTCATACGGAAGGTGGAGGAGCACAAGGTCTCTAACATCCACCAGCTCTGTGATGTCGTCATGGAAGAGTGGAAGAGGACTCCAGTGGCAACATGTGAAGCTCTGGTAAACTCCATGCACAAGAGGGTTAAGGCAGTGCTGGAAAATAATGGTGGCCACACAAAATATTGACACTTTGGGCCCAATTTGGACATTTTCACTTAAGAGGTGTACTCACTTTTGTTGCCAGCGGTTTACACATTAATAGCTGTGTGTTGAGTTATTTTAAGGGGACAGCAAATTTACACTGTTATACAAGCTGTACACTCACTACTTTACATTGTAGCAAAGTGTCATTTCTTCAGTGTTGTCACATGAAAAGATATAATAAAATATTTACAAAAATGTGAGGGGTGTACTCAATTCTGTGGATACTGTATTTATTTTTGTCTTTAGTTGAACTTAATCTCTTTTTTTCAGTTTGACTGGCTTTGCATTTAAAGCATATGTTCACCTTTTGCACAAAGTAATAAATGCAGTTAAAAAAATGTGCATTTATTATTTTTGGCTGCAGGAGCCTATAACATATTGCACCAGCACGCTGGTGCCATGCAAGTCCCCTGCAGACCTGTCAGTATATCTGCTTGCCCATACAGGATGTAAAGGCAAGCAGCTAGACTGACCGGAAAATTCAATGTGCTGTGGTATTCCATTGAGAACTACAAGCCGACAGTCGCTAAGGATGTTGGGACTTGTAGTTCATTCACAGAACACGGCTCGTGCTGTTTTTAAATACTGACAGCTAGTGCAGGGAAGTTCTCCCCGTACTTCTGTCACGGGGGATGGGGGGGCAGCAGGTGGTGCCTGCAGCAATAACGTTACATGGTCCATGGGTGTAACATGTTCCCAAAGGTGAACTTATCCTTTAAACAGTCACCATGTTTATGCTAGCAAGACAAGTCTTTGATTTACAATTCATACCAGATGTTTTTTAGTGCTAGCAGTAAGACATGACTGAGTGAGATGGACATTTGGTTCACAAGGACATATAACACATTTATTAATTAGGCCCTTTTTTCTTTTTTTTTCCTTGTATCACCTGCAGAATTACCGTGAAGTTATGGCTGGCCACTCTGAAAATTACCGGTGGAAACGGTGGAGTCTAGAAGATATTGCAACTATCCTTTCTCAGCGCTTCCCTTCCAGTTACATATGGATTGTGAAACCTTCTCGCATGCATCTCCACAAATTCAGCTGCTATGACAATTTTGTGGAAAGTAACCTGTTTGGAGCCCCAAAGCACAGTGCGGAACTGAGAGCTATTGGACAACTTCATTCCTTGCTGACTAATGCTTTCACCATGGCACAAAACCTTCTGATGTCTCAGAGTAACAAGTATGTTGTGAACAGTGATCACGATCATTCTGTGAGCCACACAAGTTCTGCATTTTCCACAAATGGTTGCTATTCAGAAGAAGACAGTGTCAATCATTGCTCCAAGGACTCTCCTTACCTCGGTTCACCGTCTGTAAAGGATTCCCTATCCTTCACAGTGATTGGATTCAGCAAAGGATGTGTTGTACTAAATCAGTTTCTACATGAACTGCATGAAGCTAAAAAAGATAAAGAAGTCCATTTGTTTGTAGGCAATATTGAATCCATATATTGGCTTGATGGGGGGCATTCTGGAGGAATTAATACATGGATAACGTGCCCTGATATTTTGAAAGTATTTGCTCAAAGGCGTATTGCAGTGCATACTCATGTTACTCCTTACCAAGTTAGTGACTCTATGCGGTCCTGGATTGGGGAGGAACACAGGAAGTTTGTAGAGCTTCTGAAAGTGTATAATGTAATGGTGAATAACCAGTTACATTTTGCCTATGAAGTGCCTTCTTTGGATAACCATTTCAGAGTTCATGAAGTTTTTTAGATGTATCTTTAGAAATGCAGCGTTCCACTTCAAATGTGCAGAATATTTGCAACCTTCTCATGTTGGCTCCTTCTAGTGGATTTCCCATGGAATATAAGCTCACTTAGGTTAGCTACACAGGCAGCTCGGTTAGCGAGCCAAGCTGGAGCGGTCAC